ACTCTTCCTTATTCCTAGAACAGTTGTACACGTTTCCCTAAATATCGCTTTCAGAGAGTTCCAATGTTCTTCCAAACAGGTTCCCTCCGTGATGCCACGTAGTGTGTCCGACTTTTGCTCTGATCTCATCTGTAGGGAATGTATCCCTTGTGGTTTTGTCCCTCAGTTTCTAAATGTTGAACTTCAATTGTATCCTGTCTCCACTTGTTTTCATGGATTTCAACTTCACCTTGAGGGTTCCATGGTCTAAGCCCATATCTGCCCCTCTTCTCGACTTTGTATCCAACGCACTGACTGCATCTTCATTTCCTTGAGACTGATATGAAATCTTTCTGGGTTGTGGTATGTCCGTCCGACGAAGTCCATGTTACTTTGTGTTTATCCTTGTATTTGTATACGCTCCCACCGATCACTAAATCATTGAAAGACGGAGTAGTCGGAGAATAATTCTCCGTCCTCATTTATTTCTTCGAGAGCCACTCAACCCCTGAAGAGTTCTCTTCCCGTATTATCTGCTCCCAGTTTGGCATTCATATCGCCCAAAAGGATTTTGATATCACCATTTGGGGTTTTTTCATTACTGTTTGCAGTTGTCTGTCAAAATAATCCTACATTCTTGCCTCGAGTTGTTTGTAGCACTGGATAATTGTAACCTTCCTTCCTTTTGAGTTGAACCTCGCTGTTATGATCCTGGATGAAGTTGGTTTACACTGCATTAGGTCTTTGGCTGCCACTGGTGACATCATGACAGCCACTAACTAACTGCACAAGTGGCTGTCGTCTGGGTGACTAGACTGGAGTAGATTATTGATATAACTATAAAACTTGGGCACTGTGGTAGAGCATAACTCCATTATGGATAAGATTTTATTTTGATAAGTCACACGGTGTTGTACAGTTATATTAACTGATGACTTTTCGAGCGTAAACTATTGCTCATATCACATCTACTTCATATGATTTTGAACAGTAGTTTATGGTCGAGACGTCATCAGTTAATGTAACTGTACAATACTGTGTGATTTATCAAAATAAAATCTTATCCATAATGAAGTAGACTATTGACTCTTCCGTTGGCAATGTTGTCAGTCCCTATCCATTCCATCTGCTTTCGCAGATACCGAGTATTTTCAAGCCATATCTTCGCATCTGTTTGGCTACTGAGCAGCCTCCCCAGTCTTGAATACTGTAGGAGGACTCCATGTACTCATTCCTACGCTTGATTTCATCGAGAGAAGACATATTGGCTGACTGGCTTCCCGAAGGCTTTCACCAGCCCGCATCATTTCGCCTCTCCGATGCGAGCGGAGAATAAGATTTTTATTTGGAGTTTTCATATTTTCAGTAAATTTTTTGTGTTATGAATTTTCTCCAGAGGCTTGAAAAATTTAGTGGTGTGGGGTTGCTAGGCCCGCGTTCAACCCTCCCTCTTCACCCGTGCTTGAGACCGGCTAGAAAACCAGCGACCTAGTTAACTAGGTGAGGTTCGCATTATTATTACTGAACTATTAAGTAATTAATATTCCCTCTGCGAAATATCGCAGCACAACATGGAATAATGGAAGCTCAGTAGTACTATGTCATCTGGTTAGACTACTCGGACGATTCTATGAATGTACATAACCGTGTTATGCTTTTTTGATCTCAGGCAATCATTCTAAAATGTCCTTTGCCAGCTGTTAATATCCTAACCAAAATTACTAGGCTATAAATATTTGTATTTGTCCCTGGAGAACCTTCCCCATTTAAAAAATCTTGCAATATCTACCCATCCCTTTTCACCCTATCTCTTGGTGCCATATATGTTATCATGTTGTGATGTCTGTAGAGTAATGGGTCTTTTCAGGCACCATTTCTTTCTTAATAACACTTTAGATAGGCTCTACTTGTAATCAGGATGACCTTACGGAGCGACTGATATCTGTTACCTGAGATTCGCCCGGGAAGTGTTTAACGCAACTTCCCATTACACTTAATGAATGCCTTATTGTTCTTGAAAATGATACCATAATTACCAAAGGCATTTTAGTATTTCCAATATTCATTACCTTATTGCTGCAAAAAATTATTTGTACACAGACTGCCAAACAAACTGAAAGTCTTAAAATTGAATATATTGTTTGTGTGGTGAAAACTTTGCGCGGGATATTGATGTGATTTTAATCCAACCTTGGAGGCTTTTGAGGACTACGACGATGAACTAGAGTATTACTTGCACGTTGTTGGCTTTTTCCTGATTTTTCACTTGTGCGTACTTTTCAGATTATCTGTTCATTCACTAAAGTGTTGCAGTCACCATCCATGAAAATTTTTTTAAACCGTGCTTCTGCATAGGGAGATTTTCTAGCAACCGCGGTCGTTGGACTAACCAAACTTGATGGACACTACCCGAAACTACGGTCCACTCAAATAGAACACCAACTAGGTATAGCATTAAATCTGAGGTTGCTAGGTATAGTGAAGTGTCCTTCATTTGCATTATCAGATTATCAAGCAGGCGTTGGAACCTATATTTAATAATAAAACGCTTCTCTCAGTCTGAAAGCCCACGCGCACAGTGATTGCTTGAAGAGAAGGACACGGAGTTTAGGTCCCCATCAGAGATCTTGCGCTTCCTGCAATAGACTGTAGGGACATTGCCGTGGGAGAGACTGTCTCAGATAGGTCAGGTGCTAACCCTTCTGGAGTATGCTTGATGGGTGCTGAAGGCCAAATGTCCTTACTACTCTCTTGAGTAATTACCACACATAGTGGATTAAACATTGGAGAGGGGATGATTCACGGAAAAACATGAGTATAGGCAATAAACCAGCAATTGCAGAACTCATGGCCAATGTTAGATTAATAACGGAAACAGTGGCGCAAATACAACTAACAAATGATGTAGACAGCCAATGTAGACAGCTCAACTGAACCTAGCCTAGGTCAAAGAGCAGATCCACTCAAACCAAGTCAACAGGCCAGTTCTGATGTTACCACTGGTGGTTTGGTGCATATTTAAGAAAATGTGCACGAACATGCGGCTGACCCCAAACGCAGCAGGGGAAACACTAACCATTTGTCAAATACCGACCGCTTAGAAGGGTTTTTCATGCATTCATTAATTCTACACCGAAAGCAGAAACTCTGACTAAGACTTCTTATTTGATACGGGAGCTGCACTCTGTATCATACCAAAAACAAAGGCCGGGAAGGAGCGTCGAAGAACTCCCGCTTCGCTTGGGAGGCTACCAAAATAACTACATTCGAAGTGAAAACACTGATCGTCAACCTCAGGTTTCAGCAGTGGCTCCCGTGGACTTTCACTGTCATTCGCCTAGACCTGGCATCCATCGATACAGACATCCTAGAATGATATGATTTACTGTAGGACACCCAGAGGAGACAAGTAACGATGAAAGAAACACCCAGGTATTCAGCCACCAAAGAGAGCAAATATTGCTCATTAAACCCAGTCAAATCTTCTCTGGTATCAACCAAAAGTTTCCGCAAAGTACAAGCGGAATTCACAACGCCAATGGCGACCAAAGTTCTAAGATCGGTCAAAAAGTTACTCATATCATAAGGAAATGTGAGATCCAGGTTTCCTTAGACCGAATCGCAGACCCTGATTGAGCAACCCAACCCCAGAAGATACACCGTACACTACATTAAAGGCTCTACTAGTAGTTTTTGATGTGCCACATTGTCTATTAAAACTGGCTTGGTTTGCATCTTTCACAAAGTTGCGTTGGCTGAGGAAGATATACCTGAAAAAGCCATTACCAGCGCACTGGAATTGGATGAGTTTGTGCGGATGCCATTTGGTCTTTGGAGCGCCGCATTGATATGTCTTCCAGAATTAAACGTTAAGTGTCTGCGACCTCCTGTGTTATTATATCTTTGTGATAGATAATTTGGGCAGTTATTTTGATGGAAGAGTCGCTTTCTAATCTATCATACTGTAGCTTGGTATAAATGTATGAAGAAACCATGCAACAAATCCGATTTATGATCAGCGGGGCAATGTTTAATATTTTTAAGGTGATCATGGTCTACCAAAATTCTTCGCAGTATAAACTTTCAAGCCATGAATCGCTTTTCTCATAAGTGTCACTTATCTATACCTTCAAAAAAGACTCAGTGTCCATTCCAAGAAGAACGTTACGTCAGTTCGACCAGATTTCTTTGTAAGACATCAGTTAGTACCAACAACAAATGAGAACAAGCATGACATATCTCACTTTATTTCTGTGTTGGCTTACAAAACTAGTGAAGTATTCGTAACGTTCTTGGTACGTGGCACATAAAGGCGTAATAAAATTGTAGTTAAACAGGAAGAACTCATAAGTAGAGAAAAAATTTCTGTTAAAGAATTGTTTTTGAGTACTTCACAGCTGTATTCATTTCCAGTGGAGAATTCATGAAACAAGTCATATTCTAGAAAATGGTTTACAAAATACTAGTATAATTCGGGAAGGAACGCACAAAGGAAGTTGTCATTGCTCATAATAATTTCTATCGAATAATAACCGTAGTTCTATTTATAATAATAAGTCGAAGATATCAAACGAAATATGGAACAACACTTTGCTAAAGGGTGTGGGCGACTAAACTAGCCCTTTTAGCCCGAAGATTGCATCGAAAGAGAACAACTATGATCACTTTCCGACAGACATGATTACTTTAGGTAATCATTTTTCCACACGAATTAATGGAATGACGGTGGAATTAATCATTCTTGATTCTTACAGGTGGTAAAACTGAGGGGTGATATACAGGGTATTTTCTTATTCATACCTAAGACTGACTAATTCATATCAAGCATATCAAGCACAATAACCTTTTCAAGATCAGGTAACGTAGGCACTAAACTGTTTTTCCTGAAATTAAAAAGTGAGATTAAAACTTGACTTTTTGAGGTCAGAAAAAGATTAAAATTTAGCTCCCAACCAACACCATCTTCTTTTTTGTGTGTGAAAGCAAGTGATGACCATCAAAGCTCTTTGTTTTGTTGTGTTGGAGTACGTTATCTCAGGGTCAGCCTCAAGGTAAAATCAAGTGGCGCTGGTAGGTTTTCGCCTGAAAGTTCGGTGTTTTTACACACCTTGTAAGTTGTGCTTATTATGCATCTGTAAACTAAACATCCTAAATTGCCATGTATTTATATTAATTGTTGTTGAAAGTAACACGAACGATTAAGCTTCACTGAAGATTTGATTTTCAAACATTGAATATTCTTTGTTATTTGGTGAACTTTTGATCTACTTGAGAGGTGGTGGACTTGTTTTGATTGTCATCAGGTTTTATTTCAGCTTGCTTCATTTACATCCTCATTCATGCCCACTAAACATTTTCGCAAGGTTAAAAACCACATTTCTGTAGTAAAAACAAGAGGAATAGTATGAAGGGCGAAGTTAAACTGTAACAGCCATTCTAGTGTATGATTTTGGGCTACCACTTAGTCGTAGGTGGTATAGCCAATTAAGAGAACACCTTCAGTTCAGCCGTAGTTCAAATTGGTCCTCATGCTATTTATTGGTATCAAAAAAACGATTTACAGAGTAATGCAGGCAGGTGTGTAGTATACATAATTTTCCCTTGTTGGTAGCTGAGAATATTCCCAATTAATTAGCACATGGTTTGTATGCGTAGACATCTACTTTAAAATAATTATACATGTAAGGAATTTCAATAAATATTCATGTTAGTGCCAATAACTGTTAGCTAGATTAACATAGGAATTTAGTTAGCTAAGTTAAGGAGTTCCATGTTATTCTTATTACACTAGTCTTTCTTGACTACCTGGAGTGAAGTAGCAGACATAGTATCGTGCTAACCAAAAATGACAGTGTAAAAACGAAATGTAACGGATGGGGACGTTTTAAAATCGGTCGTGGTACATCAGTAGATGCTAATTTAACACAACTTTCCTTCACTTCACAAGTTGACCACCCCTCCAACAAGTCTCGAGACAATTTGTGAATAGTGACATTCGTAACACATGTCTAAGCAACCATAATGGATGTCCCAAGATGACCGTATTTTAATACGCAAACATTTTGACCAATTTAATGGTCCACCTGTAAAGGCGTGTCATCACACGTTACTATTGGTTTTGTAACAGTAATGTCCATGTAGAGGGTGCAGTACGTACATCATAATAATATCGTTCATCTGCTGACTAAATGCGATTTGAATAGCCTGTAAGTTGTCGAACAGTAATGCAACATTGTCGGAACCAGCACTCCACCACACCTGTTCTTCGGAACAATCTTCGAAACGTTGTCAATAGTAAAATTGAAGGGAAATAAAAAAATTAAGCAGCCTGAATTAACTCCAATGCTAGTTAAGAACTTTGGTGATAGATAATATCATGGCCTACCATTACATGAGACCTTTTTTCAATGTATGGAAACTTTGCTAGAGCATAAATGCCAACTGTCGCAGCTAGGCAGATGTTATCAAAATGAAACTTACTATCAGTTCGTATTAGCCCAAGCTGCACATCTCTTATCAGCTGATGAAGTAAAAGGTAATAAAAGAGAATATCACTGGGTAAATTGTGATATTTAGACTCACACTTACCTGAGGTATTCTGTGTTTTTAGATGCCAAAGAGTTGTCTCAAACGAACTTCTTAGCACTATGAATGAAAGCATCGAATGAAATCTTAAGGATATCCCAACTCCATCACACCAACCTCAATCTATATTTACATTTTGTTGTGCCATATTCTTCATAAACACATAGTTATTGTGTTTCAAGCTAGAGAACTGGTCGATGAAGAGGTTTCAGTCGACTGGGTTATTAAATATCCTTAGGAGTTCTCATTCCCTTATAATCCCCTTAGTATTTCTTTTTGATATTTTGTTGTTGCATTGTTAACAGTTTCGTTTTCTCGCTTTTGCACTACTTGTGCTGAAATAGTTCATTTAAATGCAATTATTCTACTCTTATTATTTAAAAGGAATGCTGCAGAGAACATGAAAAGTGAAATGGCAAAACAGCATAATGCAAATTTTGTGTCTTCCTTACAAAAAGCTAATTGTGAGCAAAATTCAAAACAGCATCATTGGTTAGAACAATGCTATGAAGTTGTTATATCTGCAAAATCTGATGTTGATTCATCTACTCTCCCGATTGATGGTGGTTCAGATGCTGGTATGTTTTGTGTTATCGGTGCTCAATTCGATCCATCTCGGATTGTCTATCATGGTGTCAATGATAATACTTCAAAGAAGTGTATGAAACCTGGAGATATAATTTTAGCTATCAATGGTTATGAACTCTCAGGATATACAAAACGTGATGCTATTACATTGTGTACTGCTTGTTTACAATCACAATCGCATGTTCGACTACATCTTAGTCCACCGCATGCTTTAGCAACAAGTAGTACAATGTTGTCAAGTTTTTTAGCTATTTCATTTGCAATGGATTCACCGGAATATGCTCTTCAAGAGAAAATAAGAGAGAATGTATATCAGCGTGTAGTTCCATGTAAGTGATCTTCTTGTCTGTTAGCGTAGTTCTTGTTTTATTGTGGTGGTTCAATTTTATTTTGTTTTTTTGTTGCTGATAAAAATGTGATATTACGAGTGTGAGTTCCAGAGTATGGTTGTCCGGTTACTGAGTGACAAGATTCCATAAGCACTTTTTAGATGAATCGTCTAGTCAGTTACGTAGGTTATTATTCAAGTGTTGGTTTGTAGGGATTGGATTGGTTACAGGATTTTCATCATGAGGGGACATTAGTTAGAGAACCATTGGAAAACCTGGGAGTACTGGACAACTGTTTCGTCCTAGTTTGGGACTCTTCATTAGTACGCACCCACCGGGATTCGAACCCAGGACCTTCTGGTTACAAGGCAAGCTCGTATACCATTAAGCCACTGGGACCCGATCCAATGGCCCATGGATTCTAACTTCTGCCAATTCACGACATAGCGTGACCCCTAGCCAATGTCTTCGGCGAGTATTTGTCCTCACGCCCTGGTTCCCTAACTAATGTCAGCTCATGATGAAAATCCTGTTACCAATTAAATCCCTACAAACCAACACTTGAATATCAATGAGATGCTCACTAGTGACTTGTCCTATTCAGGTAGGTAGTTGCCTGGGGTTCTAGTCAGAAGTCGTGACCAGTAGGGTGCAGCAGTTCGGGCGTGAGGGCAAATACTCGCCGAAGACATTGGCCAGCGGTCGCGCTATGTCGTGAATTGGCAGAAGTTAGAATTCATGGACCATTGGATCGGGTCCCAGTGGCTTAATGGTATACGAGCTCGCCTTGTAACCAGAAGGTCCTGGGTTTGAATCCCGGTGGGTGCGTGCTGATGAAGAGTCCCAAACTAGGACGAAACAGCTGTCCAGTACTCCCAGGTTTTCCAATGGTTCTCTAACGTACGTAGGTTATTTATCGATCATTTATTATCTACTTAAATAAAATCATAAAAATATAAGAAAAAAGAGGAACAAAATAATAAAGAGATGATGTAATGAAAATAGTTGGGCTTATTTATGAAAAACACTCAAAATAAACCTTCGTCACTTCATATTACTATTATAAATGGGAAGACAGAAGGAAATTACAGAAATGCTTACTATTGCTTTACATTCTGAAGTGTATCTGATAACATTTCTAGGCTTGTAGTCCCATAATCTTTCGAACTCCATCAGAGAGGGAAGGAGTTGTGGTACACTGACAAACGCTAACCCAACAGGAGACCTCCCCACCTTCATCCTATGGTGCCACAATCATTTATCTACCTTAGGATTGACGAAGTTCTGAGTATTTGTCTTGTTAACTGTTGATCTGTTTGGCTTTTAGTTTTTAGGATCACACAAAGAGGCTTTGTTGAGTTATTGTGTAATATGCTTATTATTGACATAAGTCACTTCCTGTTCGGTCGATGTTCAGACTTTATTGAGTAGTTCGAAAATTTTGTTTATTTGTCTAATAATAGATGTTTCTTACTAAATTAGAGGATATAAAAGGTAGTGTTTGATACCGGTGCCTGGACGATGGAATCTCAGTTTTGGAATACTGTAATTACTCAAAGAAATGTATTCATTTGACTTGTTGAGGAATAAACGTCACAGTTCACGTGGACAGTAACAGTGTGTCCTGATGTCCAGTGACGATAATGTACTTCCTAGAGTTTTGTTCTACCCTACTTAAAGTTTTGTGATATAGTAATGAGATAAAAAGTTAGGAAATAATGTTAGTTTAACAAATTCTTTAACTGTTTACTTAAGTCATGCGCAGTGGACTACAAGTTTCCCAATGGGTTAGTAGAAATTAGATATTGTTTATATTTCAGATTCAGATTTGTTTACTGAAGATGGGAGGCTTGAAGCCTATTGTAATCCTGTTCTAGTAAATTTCTGCGTATGTCCAAACCCTTCTTGAATGGGTCAATTGGGGGCGCTGACACCACTTCTTCGGGGAGTCGGTTCCAGGAGCTGCTGACTCTGTATGAGAACCACTACTCCACAGCGATATAGTTTCTCTTTGGCTTTCGAACTTTCTTGCCATTTCCTCTAAGATGTTCAGACCTGTTGGGAAGGAAAAGACAGAATAGATCAGGTCCATAGTCATTATTTAAAATCCTAAACATTATGATGAGATCTGCTCTCTGCTTACGGTAAGACAAGTTTAAGAGATTCAAACTGTCTAGTCTTCCCTCGTATGGCAAGTTGGTCATGCCAACAGTCATACGTGTTGACGTCGTTTGAAATCTTTTTAAAATATACGAGTCCCTTTTAAGACAAGGACTGACTGTCCGGATTCACTTTTCCAGTCTTGACCTCATCAGAGATTTATACAAAGACATGAACATATCTCTGGTGATTTTAGTAAAACATGTCGCAAATCCAGTAAAAAATTTTCTTTATCGATGAAATCATCTTCAGAGGCTGTACAGGTGTATTTACAATTATCAAAAATGTATAGTAGTCCACTATTGAGTAATAGGGGTGACATAATTGATATAGTTACTCAGAAGTGGCTTCATGAGTAAAAATAAAAGCTATAAATTACGTAATACTCAACGGCACAAAGGAAGAAAGCGTTAGAAATTTGATAAGGTTAAAATTCTTATTGAGTGAAAAGAAAGCTAGTTGAGTGCCCATTTAACGAGTGTGAAGAAGGTGAGAAAATGTAGAAAAGGAACACATGAGAGTGATAATAGTAAATCAATTATTAAAGTAAAAGTAAATTAGTCATTAAAAATAAATAATAAAAAATTTAACAGGAAACGACTAGTGAAGAGGTTAAGACTGGACAAACTTTTTCTGTGTACAGAGTTCGGGGTTGTATTGACGAATTGCCAACGCCTCCACCATACTCAAATGCCAAAACCTGACTAATGTCTTTCGCACCATTTGGCCTCACCTTGTAGATGATTTTGAAAGATGACTCAAGTGGGGCCACGTGGCTTGAGTTCACCAAGTGGTCGAGAATTGACCTAGTTATTGTCTTGTATTGTCCCTTTTCTAACCATGCCGGATAATGTTCAGAGATGCGTTTGGAAAGTGTGTGCCTTGTGTAGTCAGTATAACTAAGTCCACAGGAACAAGTGAATTTATAAGCACACACAGTGAATCGATAAAGCATTTTTTTTCGCTGAATTGTCTTTTATTTTCTTCATTACTCAATGAGTATTTTTGGTGATTCTGAGAATTGCCCATAAAGATCTAAAACTACCGCCTGCCATCGCGCAGCAGTGTGGTGTATTTTTGAAGTCCTGACTTACTATGACACCTAGATCCATATGAGTCTAAGCCGATGGCGATGTTATTCCCTCTAGTTCGTATGAGTTAACCTTTGAGTGTCCAGTTCGCATGATTGCACATTTCGCCATGTTGATCGGGAGCATTTTATCTTTGGACTAGTCTAACAATTTGTTAAAGTCTCCTTGCAACATGAGTGTATCATTGTCTCCCTTCAGCAGCTCCCTCCAAATTTTCAAGTCATCTGCCTAATAGAACCATATGGGAGTCGGTGAGCATAGCTAACTCATTGATACACAAAATAAATAAGAGAGGTCCGAGTACAGTGCCTTGTAGCAGTCCATGTACGTACTGTTGTCCAGGAGGAGGAGAGTTTTGATGAGTTGGTCCTCACTGTCGGTCTTCTACCTATGACTTAAGCCTAGAATTCGAAACCTGTCACAGTGGTACTAGTATATTCATATTGTGTCTTCCGAAGTTAGAGCTTCTTGTTATTTTTCTTTACTCTTTTGTAAATTTCGACGTCTGTAGTTCTGTTTTTATACTAATACTTTAACGTGTATCCAACATGTTGAGTGAAGAAGGACATAGTGTTTGTCTTATTATCATATGAATAGTCTTTCATTTGTGTGAAAATTGGTCATTGATGATATTAGATAGTTGGAGGCAATCGGCAGGAAGCCTTCCAACTAGGTTTCGTGCTAGTTGGCACTCATCAGCAAGGCGTATCTGCAACCTTGAAGGAACTGATGTCCCTTCTGAGATTCGAACCCGCGTCACCCAGTGCTGCAGTCAGAGACGTTACCACTGAGCTATTCAGGTTCGCGACTGACCTCCTGTAGGACTGTATTGGATATTTTTGATTGAACACTAGTCAGTAACTAGTGTAATGTGTCTAGTAGTCCTTTCTTTGGTGCAGACTGAATTCTATCAGTCAGGTTTTGCAATGTGGCCATCATTCTAGGTAGCTCGCCATCACGGTGCACATTGATTTGATGATATTAGATAGTTGGAGGCAATCGGCAGGTTCGCGGGTTCGAATCTCCGAAGGGACATCAGTTCCTTCAAGGTTGCAGATACGCCTTGCTGATGAGTGCCAACTAGCACGAAACCTAGTTGGAAGGCTTCCTGCCGATTGCCTCCAACTATCTAATATCATCAAATCAATGTGCACCGTGATGGCGAGTTACCTAGAATGGCGGCCACATTGCAAACCTGACTGACTGATAGAATTCAGTCTGCATCAAAGAAAGGACTAGACACGTCACATTAGTTACTAGTGTCCAATCAAAATAAATTGGTCATTTTTAACGGTAGAAGACGAAAAACTTGGTAAGGAATGTTTATTTGCAATTTGGTGTCTCTAAACATGTCCAAATTATGTACACCTTATTTTCAGCGTGCTATTTGCACAGATCCTCCGTGTTGTGCTACTTATGACCTTCATATTGTGTTTCTTCGCGTCCCTTTCACGTTTCCAATGTATCGCCGCAACTTTGTATCATTTGCTTTCTCTGAGATTAAATCTATCTCCCTTCTATTTGATGTTTTTTATGCCGATGGACATCTCTTCATATACTACTGATAAATCTTATCAGTAGTACACACCGCAACTTGAAATCATATAAAAATTCATTTCAATATTTTCCGTCTTATCAATATATTTAGGTACGACTAGACTGCCCAGAGCAGAAGAAGTAGATGGTGTACATTATCGTTTTATGAATGTGCCTCAATTTCTTGCACTTGAACGTAGTGGACAATTATTAGAAAGTGGAATGTACAAAGGTAATTAATATTATATTGATTGTGTTTTTTTTTAATGTACCAATTAATTATGTGAATGGAAGCGTTTTTTTTTCAAATATTTTCATTTTTTTTCTATGAATCGATTTCGTCATTCCGCATATGCGTTTTGTACTAGACTATGAGTCGTATTTAATGCATCAGGGTTCAGTACACTTCCGTGTTACCACCTATGTCACACAGCGTGTGAAGTGGATTTCGAGCCGTAGACCCATTGGTTGAAAGTTGTGTGTTTTTTTAAGCCAGTAAGCCAACTGCTTGTAACAGCCATTCTTATTGTCATAAAGGGTAATAAGACATCGCTTATGTGAACTTGATTATTATCCCCTTGGGTTCCGAGTGGAAAATAAGGCAGGCCTTCAACAGAACAGCTCCACTTTTTGTCCTTTTCTCTGCAGTTGTTTTCAACTGGCTTCATGATTGACCATAAGGTGCTATCTCCTTCAGCTCACATGATCATCTACATTGTCACCCTTGAACACACGCCCAGCTCATCGTTTCGCATTCATGTTCCACTCGAGCGACAGCATGGCGCACAATGCCAATCGACAGTTTCTTCAGCGTGTTTCCGATCCGTCTTCATCTCCTTCAGAATATTTGTTGAACAATAGATTCTTGATTGCTTGGTTCTTAGAGTTTTTTATTCCTGCTTTCTTCTGGCGACCCATCTGATCTTCAGTATATATTCAACGAGGGTAGCTGTTGGTCTGTCAGAAATGATTTTTGTTATGCGCCAAGTTTCTGACCCATATAATGCAGCTGATGGAACATTATTTATTATTACTATAATTGTTTCCTTTAAGTCGTAGCGGAAATTAGGGCTCCAGCCACACGTCTCCATTGTGTTAGGTTCTCTGCTAACGTTTTCACCTGGCTCCAAGTCTGCCCACACGCTTTCATCTCCTCTTCACATGGACCTCCTCCAAGTCACCCTCTCACTGACGACCAACTCGCCGCTTCCCGTTCAGGTTCCACTCGTGGGCTTATCTATTGATATTACTTGATGGTTTCCTCAGAGTATGGCCAATCCCCCTCCATTTCTTCCTGGTTATTTCTTGCACAATTGGTTCCTGGTTGTTTCGCTCCCAGAGATCCCTGTTGCTGATCCTTTCTGGCCGGCCATTTGATCTTGAGTAGTGAGCGAAGACAACTGTTAATGAAGGTCTGTAGTTTGTGCCCTTCGTGGCTTGCCGAATCTCTTATCCATAAAGTAGCACTGACTGACTTCGCATTACAGTTGAAAATCCGGATCTTATATTTCATGCTGAGTTCTGTTGACCTACACACAAACTTGAGAGTAATGAAAGCTTGTCTTGCTTTTCGGATCCTTGCCAGGAATCTTCATCACCTACCTCTGTTTTCTCTATGTCCACCTGAAGTCTTTGATGCTTCTCCTATCGCCAACTTGTTGGTTTTCACTTGCATATCTTTCAGTTTGTGGGAAATCATACATATATCATCATCAGCGAAGTTCAGATCCTCTGAGTTTTTTTTGTGTGGATTCATTTTGTGCCTGTTTCCTCTCTGCCCGCTCTCTGGCAGCGGGAACATTGATGTTGAAAATCTGAATTTTGTTGTTTATGATCCGGTGAAGTGCAGAAGATTTCCAAATCTATTTCAGAGTGATGAATGTGTGTCTTGCTTTTATGATTCTGGTGGGTTTTGACATCCTCTTCCGTCTCACCTGAATTTGAAACGATAGTGGCTAGCCAGATAAATGAAGGAAGTGACGCCTTTTAAATTTATACCATTGATGGTGATTGGTCCCTGTTTTTGTTGTTGTTGTCGGTTGCTTGATTATTTTTATCGCCTCCGTTTTCTCTACGTGTACTTGAAGTTCAATTTTCGCTACCTGTTTCTCCTGACAACTTGTTTGTTTCCACCTGTAGACCTTCGAGTTTATATGAGATTAGACATAAATCATTCGCGATGTCCAGATCTGCTAGAGTCTTCTTATTGGTCTGATATATTCCTGTCGTATTCTTCTCACTCTCCATTTACGGTCTGCAGCATGATCCAGTCCACTACTGTCTGCTTTTGGAAGTATGTGGGCGGTTGTTACTTCCCGGCTGCTCACGCCGTGAAAGTTGATTGATTCTTCGGGTACCTGAAACAGAAAGAGGGTTAGTGTTACGTGACCGCATAGCCCAGCGGACACCTGCTTGAGGCCGGTCACACACGACCTGTATGAACTGGTTTCTTGGTTTGGTTCCGTATTAGTAAACTTACCGCCGGTTACGGACTACCATAGGGTAAGTCGGTATGTACACTTTTCGGGGTCGACCTTTTCTAACCCCTCTCTGCATAGTGGAGAGACAGCATAGCTGGCTGGCATGCTGGTCATCTGAGGGGAACACCTCACTGCTGTTACACCCCTGTTCCTCAGCAATACGACTTCGTCTTCAGACCCCCATCATAGTGTAAAAAATTCTTACACTATGCTGGTAACTGTTTTTAGTCTAATCGCTATCCTAACAACCTTCCTGGTATGGTAGGACCTGCAGGAACATTGGTTCCAGCCAGTGTAGCACAAGCTGGGTCATTGCGATGTGCAAGCCCGGCGACCACCACGTCAAGGTAGCAGCTATCGGTAGGGACAGGAATTAGGAATATCATCCATGGTGATAGTAGGCTGGCAGCCTTGTCTTTCTCACATCTTCTCTTCAAAGGCTTCATTGAGCTTTCTGTTGTGGGGATCACTTGAAATGTGGTATTCTCATATGGTTGTTGAATTAAGTTGATAAAGGTTTAGGGCACTGTACCCTGTAGTGTTGAAGTATGTTCCAAATTACTTCGTGGTCAACACTTTCGAAGACCTTTTCAAAGTTGATGAATTCTATACACTGTTCGATGATGATGGTGATGATAATGCGTAAAGTTGCATTTGTTGTATCCTTTAGCTTGTTCCGACTGGTAAAGTTTTGCATTCACTGCATCCTTTAGTCTCTCTAGGACAACTCGGCAATATTTTGCTTGACGTGGAATATCTCACTGACAGCTTTCAACATAGTACTTTGCACAGATGTACAGCAGTTCCAGTCGCCAAACTGTCTCCATGTAGCACACAAAGCGAGAGAATACAGTAAAGAAATATTTTCTGCCATATCAGCAATTGTCTACAGCCTTCATTGCTTTTTACCATCCCGGAAACCCCAACCAAAAAGCAGTCTACACCTCCCCCACATGACTTAAACAAGCTGTCACGTGAAAAATCAATGAAAACTCAGTATATAATTAAATTACCCCTCAGTCAAAGAGTGTATCGTTGTGTAGAAGTGGAGATGTAGCCCATCAGCTTAAACACTCACAGTTTTCAGTCCGATGGGACACAAGTTCGAGTCCCTACTTCATCTTGAGCAATTGGGTAAAACTGTGACATCAACAACCTCTCACATGATAAGTTTGACGCGTAGATTGACTGATTGTGGTGGTGTATGTGTGAAAAATCATCGAAAGCGACCATCTCACCCAGCATGTTTACATTAATTGTGTTTCTGCAGTCATATATTCGTTTCACCGTTATCCATTTCTTTTCCGGCCTTATTTTATCTTTCGTTTTGTCGGTATATATTTTTCTTTGTCAGTAGTAGTCAGTCTACAGCTTAATTATAAATTCAGTGCTTGTTTCACATGTGTTGTTATGTGTGTGTGTGTTACGTTGTGTTATTCTGCTTATAAACGCTGTAATGTGTGTGCGTTGTGCGTATGTGTATGTGTGTGTGTGTGGTTTTAAATTACCGTTTTGTGTGTGTGTCTATCTATAAGTATACTAGTGATAATCCTTCTAGCCAGGTGTCTGTTTGTATGCTTGTCTAACTCTGTGTATGTCTGGTATCTCTGTCTATCTGTCTGTCTATCTATCGATCTCTCTCTCTTTTAAATGTCTGGATTTTCTTTCTAATGTGTAGGTGTAGTGTAGTGGAGTGTAGGCGCTTAAAAGTAGTTATCAATTTAATTTATGCTGAAATAAATTATCATTATCGTCTTATGATTTCGTCTTCTTCTTCTTCATGTCAATGGTACAGAGGCTTATGCCAACTAATATTAACATTATTAACCACAGCTAGCTATGGTGGTGGTCATTGTGTGTAGCACTAACTGCTCAGTTTTGTTGGTTTATCTATCCACCTGTCTATCTTTCAGTGGTGTTAACTTTTACTTCTTATTGAGTTTCAGTGTGTTGTTGAATTACTTTCACATACCAGCCTACCTACCTATGTATGTTGTATTACCATGCCAGGCCTGAATAAATAATAAGAGATGAATCAGACATTGATTGTTTAACTGACATAGACATACTCACACACATGCACACATACATGTACACACATTCAATCAATCAATACTTCACCTGCTCACACTTCATTATTGAATTGCACAAACCAGCTTTCATTGTAAACACAATGTGACAAAGATTCATATGAGAAACTGCTCTATTTCTGCTCTATGTGAAGTGTTTGTATAATTGACGTGCGTGCGCATGTGTTTCTGTTTACAATTTTACTGGATTCACTTGAATTTCTGTAGTTAGTAGTATGCCTTTATTTTATGCTATGTTGGCTATGCTTTCATCATATAAGAAACGAAAGTAGCGCACTGTTTGTTTGAAACAGTCCAAGAAGCTGATGAAGTGATTCTAGAGGTGTTTAAGGATGGTGGTATGACACTCCCGTTGGACGGTTGTAAGTTATTGATTATCATCCCAGTGTACGAGAATGGAGACGAGTTTTCCTGTGATGATAATAATCATAGACGGGTGGGGGGATTATCTTGACCAATGTGGTATAATCAATAATCATGCGTAGATCAATTGGTGCTCGGGAGACTTTAGACCTGAAAGAGAGTGTATTGATCATATCTCCATCCTTTGATAGATTCTGGAACATAGGCGTATTTACTGGTGTCCACCAGCAGTCCGCTCCGTCCTGCTTTATGGCTGTGAGACCTGGCCATTGAGAGCGGAAGACATGAAAAGATTAGCT